CTGAATTCTTTTTTCTTTGATAAAACAATATTAGTTTCATTTTTGCAAATGAACACCCTTAAGTGGCATTTTTGCAAATGTGCACATAAAAAATTGCATTTTTGCAATTTTCCCTTTATAATATGTGTGAAACCTCTAACAAAATTATTTTATAACGGAGGGATAATTTACTGGGATCGAAACGTTTTTGAAATAAGGTTTGAACATTGATTCGATTGGAAACAACATTGATTTTCTTTTTTTTTTGATGTTATAACTATCGGAATAAAATCAAGAAATTGTTGTTATTAGTGTAGTAAAAAGAGTTTAAAGGTTTAAAAAAAAACTTTGTTGGTTTGTCTATCATTTTTAGCAAATACTTTTTTCCAGAGGTTAAATAATTTAAATTTATTATTGTTCTAAAAACTAGAATCATAACATATGGGAACAAAATTTATACTTTTTAATATTATTATATAGATAATGTGCTTCTTTTTTTTTTTTACAAAAGTAGGATAAAAATGAGAGAATATAATGACTAAAAACAAATGTTGCTTCGGCACGTCGGATTTTATTGGTATAGGAGTGAAGAGTGCTGTTTCCACCTACTTTGAGTCAGATTGCAGGCTCCCTCAAGGGACGTATTGGGTGAATCTAGCATTTGTATATGCTACTCCTGAGCGACAAAGAGATGTGAAAATAATATATAATTTTTGTTTTTGCCTTATTTATGGTTGTTTTGTAAACATATATACTGATTGTAGGGAAAAAAATTAATGCTTACTCTTTTATTTTTCTCATGTGTAGATACTTGGTGAGTGTTTGTTTCCATTGGTGGAAAAACATGAGCCAATTTTCTCAGCAAAAGTCACAGGAATGCTTCTTGAAATGGACCAAAGCGAAATCCTTCATTTGATATTTACACCTGAAGCACTTAAAGCTAAAGTCGAAGAGGCAGTTGAAGTTTTATGGGTCTCGTGGATTCCGCAGCAGCTGGAGTTTATGAGCTCCTGCCCCACCAAGCTTATGAGTAAGCTCTAATGTGTGTCCATATGGTTTCGTTTATAAAGATGACAAACAAAGCCATCCATATCTTTTATGTTGAGTTTCTACATTTCTATCTCTTTTTTAATAGATGTTAAGTTTAAAATCGAAACCACACATCGGAATCGAAGTACTTTAAAAATAGTGTTTAAACATTAATTCTATGGGAAACAACATAGAGTTTTGTTATTTGTACCTTTAGTAATAAAAACATTGGTTTCATCGGATATTAAACACTCTTTACATCAACATTTGCTGGCCTTTGAGCCCTAATTTGTATCCTTTGTATCGGCAGAGTTTCTACATTCTCTTTGCAGAAAACATGGTATGGCTTGTCCTGTTAAGCTCATAAACAAACTCAATAACAAGATTATAAGTACAAAATAATCAATTACTTGTCTTACGAATTTATATTACTAGTGCAGGTTTATGTGTCTGATTCTAATTTATGGCATGCCCTTAGTCGAACTATAACTCGGTCATTTACACGGGGGCGCACAATTTTGTATGTATAAAACTAATGGAAGAGAAAAAATTGCTTTTAACATTTTTATGTTTCAAATATTTAACTATTCATACTACATAAAAGCTGAAGTTTATGATAAATGGAATTATAAATTTTATTAATTTCAAAAAATATCATCGATCATATTGTAATAATTCGATGTATTCAAAACATCTTTTGGGTTGTGAATTATTCTCTCATAGTGTATTTTCTTCCACTACATCTGGAAAGAAGACTTGTGAATAATTGTGATAAAAAGTCACAAGGTCGGTAGCAACTTAGCAACTACCAAATACAGGGATGTGACAATCTCACGTTCGAAATTTGGCCGCCTTCTCTGCCTCCATCAAGAAATTGAAAAGTAAATTCAATTATTTAACCTCCCAAATTATCATATTAATTAGTGGAATTGATTATTAGTTTAGTAGTCACTACGACACTAGCCAACAATTTATTTATGATATCTGTCTACGTCACAGTACCAGTGACAAGTGACAAGTAATGGTCATCTAAAAAAGATTACTATATTTTTGCAAAAAAAAAAGTTTATATATTTACAATCTGTTAACAAAAAGATTACTAATGATTCTTTTAAAACAAAGATTACTATTCTACTATTTGGAATAAGTGTATGTTCTCACACTTGTCACATAAATTAATAATTAAGAAAACGTATTAAAGATTTTATTATATTTTTATGAAAAACAAATTGATTTATTGATTTCGTATTATACTACTCATTCTGTTCCATAACGTAAGATGTTTATTTTTATTTTTTTCATTTTATAAAGTGTTTTACAAGTTTCTATGCATATTTTAATGTTGTGAGATATTTTTGACCTATTAAATTTTGTAGTTTTTTACATGAATGGTTGAATTATATTTTTAACTAATTATTGAATGATGTTTTGTTTATAATTGTCTTTTTCTTAATTCTTGCGCATTCAACCAAAACATCTTATAAATTGGGACAAATGACGTATTAGTTAGACTTATGGTAAATTGAGTATTTAACACCGAAATTTCTATTAAAATTTTAAAATAACGCTTAATTTGAAAATATAAAATTAACTGCCAA